AGTACAAAACTAATGAATATTCTTGAAGTACGTTCATCAACATCATCCGATGATAAAAAACCTATTGATTCATCTTCATCACCACCATCATCAAATCATAGTGATTCAAAAAAAGATTATCAAGATTATTTAAATTCTACATTAACAAAAATTGAAGAATTAAATTCTCAATTTTCACCATTAACTATACAAATTGATCGTCAAATATCTGATGAAGGCTATCGTTCAGTTCGAAATGAACAACAACAACAAATAACAAGAACAACTTCTAATCATAATTTACCATCATTAACTAGATCAGAAAGTTATGATTCTACAGAAAAAGTTGATCAATGGTTATCAACTACATCACCGTTAGCTTCATCTTTACCTATATCAATAAATTATAATACTAATTTTCAAGTATAATTAAATTGATTTTCTTAAATTTTGATAAAAAAAAAAATTTTTGCTTTTTAAGCCAACTGATATTGATGATGAAGAATAAAATGTTAAAGCAAGAAACAATCTCGGTGTCTAATGATTGAGATTCGCTATTGAATTTAACCGTCCGTAGCAAACACAGTGATTCCTTTTTTTTTTCTTTTTTCTTTATGCTCGCATTTCTTGCCAGCTTGTGACTCTTTTTGTCTCGTTATTTTCATAATGTTTGCTGCGTACTTTATGACCAATCTTGGTAATCAGACTGATTAGGTTTTTTTTTCTCTATTGTTAACAAATCGATAAATATCAGTTGTTGTTTGTAAATCTAACCATACCTGTGATTTATTATTATTTTTTTCTCTTTATCTTTATTTATCTTAGAATTAAAATTCTTGTTCTATTTTTTTTTTCTTGTTGTCGGAGATCGTTGTGTTTACTCTTAAAACATGGTCGATTGATTTTTTTTTTTCTTTTTTTCGTTTCTCTTTTTCTTTTCTGTTCTGCTATTCAGTGTCAATGTTTGTACGTTGATCAAAAAAAAAACACACAAACAAACCAATGATCGGTTTAGAAGATTTTTACAGATATTTATTGGTAAACAAGTTGCCTCCTTTTTATTTTGATATATGCATTGGTTTGGAATGTTTTTTTTTTTTTTTTTTTTTTTTGATCAATAAGGGAATATGTTAAGTGTAGAAATATTAACATCTGTTTTTTTTTTATATTCAGTCTGATTTGGAAGTGTTTAAATTGATCAGAGAATAAAGTTATAAGGGCAATACCGTGATTATATTCTCTATTGTTATTATTTATTTTCTATTGAAATTTTCAAGGATTTTTATTGATTGAAACAAATTGTTTTCAAGAGAAATTTATTGTAAAATAAAAATCTATCGTTCATATGCAGTGTAGAATGATAGATATTTAGTAGTGTTGTGCTTTGGTAAGTTTAACTTCAAAGTCAACAAATTTTAATAAAATATAAAATGAAAGTTATGGACACTGAGAGACATCTTTTAGACTATTTAAAACTATTGGATATTTAATAAATAGCAAATATTCATCAGGATTCCTAAATTACGAAGAATATTATATGTTTCATTTTCAAGATATAATTATCTTTGTATACAGAATTCATTTTTTGTGCAAAAATATTTAGTAGATTGTAAATAACATCTATCATGTTAAACGTGTTATTATCAACTAGCTAAATTATTTGGTAAACTTTACTTTCAATAAAACATGTTGGTTCATTATTTACTATATTAAGAAATAATCCAATTTTATATGCACTAATTCGTTTAATAAAAAAAAAAACCAAACATCTAAATGAATGTTCTTATTATGACCTACATTATTCTAATTACAATTCATCAAAATTACTGTCGCCACAATTTAGTGACTTAATCAGAAAAAAGTTATAGGGAGGTTCATCATCCTAATCATGTCTGTAGTAGAGGTGAAGATCCGTTGCAGACATATCTAGATGAAACACAAGCTCTTTTTTAAGCAAAACTGGACAGTATATAAAAGAGATCCAAAGCCTTGTAGCGCGAAACTGAGCAAACGCATATTTCCTTCTCGTCAGGATTTGCTCTTTCTTGTTCTATCTTGTTGTTCATTGTTAATAAGCTCTTCCTCTTTTTTTTGGATAACTTCAAATCTAGGTATGCCTACTATACTATACATAGCTATTGCTTTTGTTATATAAAATGTAGCAATTGAGTTTCGTTCGACAAACATAAAATCCTTAACTAACATTTACACAACGACGTATCTTTGAATCTAGCCGTTCTTTCATATAATTGATCTAATTTATTCATAATTAATATATCTCTTCTGTCTAATAATAATCAATTCAGATTTGAAAAATCACCAGCTAAAACTTAATCTATTTCGACAATTAATTTACTTAAATTTTTCTTTTTATTCTTTTTAAGAATATATTGAGAATGGATGTATACATAAGGTCTAGCTGACATTGTTTTCAAGATTGATTTGCATTACTTGAACAAGTGATGATAATTTCTAGCTTTCTTTTTTTATCATAAAAGTTCGATAGTAATAAGTATGATTTATCATTGCGAAAATTCCATTCAATTTCAACGATGATCTATTTTACTCTGATTATTAACAAAAACTTTTTGACATCATCTATTCACATTTGCAACTAAAAAAAGAAAGAATTGAATACTTATATATTTTTGTTCTCATAAATGTCAATACTGAAATTTCATTTTTCATTTATTTATAAAATCGAATATGTTATTGTAGCTTGGATCAGATTTAATTAAAAATGCATTTTCTTTTGTGTCAATAGGTTATTTGGTACTTGAAAAAATTTTATAATTCAGTTGAAATTTTTTTCTCTTGTATGTTTCATTGTTGTTTTCGGATCAAGTTGCACATTCTGTGACAGATCAGCAATTGACACTTCGCTTTCATCAACGAGTGAATTGATTATTTTTCTTAACCGATTCTTTTTGTATAAAGAACAGTGAATAAATTTTTTTTTGCATTTTTTTTTCATGAAAGGGAATCAACAAGAGATGATGTTGGACAATGACGAAGTATTTTAAGTTTTTTTTTTTCTTATCCATTAATTTTATTTTTAACAACAACTGAGTAAGTGCATATATTGAACATGATCTTATTGTAGAAATAATAAAAGAAAAAGAAATCCAGCGATTCAGTCATTCTAATTTCTTTTGATTTTCTATGATATAGAGAAGATATTTCTTAGAAATTTTAGTTCAACACAAAGTCTTCACAAAACAATTATTGTTTAGTCACCGTAAAAAACAAATATCTGAAGAATGAAGAATAATGTTGTGAATCTAATTATTTTTCAAATCATAAACTTCAGAAGAAAATTTCATTAAGATAAAAGAAAAACTATCTATAAAATTAATACAATATTTCATATGGTTATTGTCACATAAACTAAAATTTCACTTGGAATAGAGAACCCTTATGAAGAAACAATATACCGAACGTACCAGAAGACTACTGTTAATTAATTGATTGCTCGCTAAATTGAAACTTTAACTATAGTCTGTTTAAAAAGTCCGTGCGTCTGACTGTTTTTTGAATAACTCGAGAATGCAAACAGTTAGAGACCTGCAGTTCTCACCAATCGAAAGAAAAGGAGTTAGTGGGTCTTTCTCTCTGATAATAATGTCTCAGACGAAATTCTTTTAAAACTGATCATCTTTGAAAAATATAGAAAAGAATACATGAAAGTGACATACAATACACATGAAGTTTCGATTATGACCTTTGATTTAGATAGAGGGATTTCAGATCTATAGTTCAAGATGCAACCCAAATAGCTCTCTAACTGCATTCTAACGTTGACCAAATGAAATGACGTACTTACATGCACAAATAATAGAGAAATTTGCTGATGTTTTACTACTTTTTTGCAGTTTTTGTCATAACAGCTGGATACTTCGATGAAAATTTAATGAAACGTAAGAAAGTGTATTATGTTTTGAACTACAGATCTGAAGTCCCTCTATCTAAATCAAAGGTCATAATTGAAACTTCATTTGTATTGTATGTCACTTTCATGCATTCTTTTCTATATTTTTCAAAGACGATCAGTTTTAAAAGAATTTCGTCTGAGACATTATTATCAGAGAGAGAGACGCCCTAACTCCTTTTCTTTCGATTGGTGAAAATCGCAGATCTCTAGCTGTTTGCGTTTTCGAGTTATTCAAACAACAGTCACACGCACGGACTTTTTAAACAGACTATAATATCCATTTAAAAAAAAAGAACCCTGAGTATTTTTTGAATAAATTTTGATAGAAAAGAGATAGAGAGCTGCGATTTTCACCATTCAAAAGAGCGATGTCCGGACCATCGATCGGTATAGAAATCATAAAGACGAAGGATATTTTTTTATAGGCATCTTCTGATCAACACTTTTTCCTTTGCGTATTTTCATCAATTCTCAGAATAATCTCAACTCAAATTATGTCAATATGTAGCTCAAATCACACGTTTTTCGCCATAAAATTAACAATTGTTTTTTTTAAAATCCACATACAATAAGAAGTTGAGAGATAATAAAAACTGTCATAACTTTATAGCGAGAAAAGTATGATTCGAGCTACATTTTGACATAATATGAATTGAGATTATTATGAGAATTGATGAAAATACGCAGAGGAAAAAGTGTTAATCAGAAGATGCCTATAAAAAACCGTCTTTCGTCTTTATGAGTTCCATACCGATCGATGGTCCGAACATCGCTCTTTCGAATGATGAAAACTGCAGCTCTCTATCTCTTTCCTATCAAAAGTTATTCAAAAAATACTCAAGGCTCTTTTTTTAAATGGATATTAGCGAAATTCCTCTAATTAGTATACAGACTCAATGCTGGAAACTATACGTTTTACTAAGCAACATGCCCGATGAACAAAGGTTTTTGTTTTCGTTTGGTTCCGGAGTTAGAACTATCTAAAAATTTGTTAATATTTTGAAGCATTATGTTTTGATGCAAGCTAAATTTTTAGATCTAGTGGTGTATTATTGAGTGGTATATTTGATTAGATCAAATTCGAATCTTGATGGCTACTTTACATTCTCCACAAGCAAAAGATACTAATAAAAATCGAAGTGCTCGGCGATCACTTGTTTCTGATGCATTTCTTTTGTCAACAGGGGAATCAACTGGACATAAGATAAGTCCAATTAACATTACAGATGAAATTTATGAAAGTGTTATTTTTATTTGGTTCGATCCACATGAAAATTTGAATACACATCTTATGGGACCACTTCGAGCAATTAATTTTAATGTTCAAACTTTTACGGATCCATTAACCTGTTTTGATACTATAAAATCTTCACAACAAAAAATCTTTTTCATATCTTCATTATGTAATAATGAATTGATTGCTACTGTACATGATTTTAATGCTGTCGAAGCAATTTTTATACTTGATCCAAATAATGAAAATATTAAAGGTGATTTTCCAAAACTTTTTGGTATATTTAATCAACAAGAAGAATTACTTCGAATGCTTAAAGAAATATTTAATACTTTTGAAGAAATACAACTTGAAGAATTTGCATTTGAACAAGATAAAGTATTTCTTTGGTCACAATTATGGAAAGAAGATGTAAGTAAAATAATAATTGAAATTAAACATTAAAAAAAATTCATTTAAGATTATTTTATTTAATAATTTTTTTGGGTGTGGGTTGTTTTTTAGTTGATAAATCGAAAAGGATCATCAAATAGAAATGGTCTTATTGAAATAGCTCGACGCTATTATCGAGACAATACTCGAATAATTGAAATTATTGAAGAATTCGAAAAATCATATCGACATGCTGATGTCATTAGTTGGTGTTTTCGTTCTCCATTTCCTACACGTTTTCTTCTTCATGCGCTTCGTTCTCACAATAAAGCACAACTTAGTGTCTGTCGATTTCTATTTGCTGATGCATCACGCTTCTTTCAACAACATTCTAAACATAAATCAAGTGATCAAGTTTATCGTGGTATGAAATTATCAAGTGAACTTCTTGATAAATTTGAAACTCATGTTGGTCAACTTATTTGTACAAGTGGATTTTTTCCTTGTACTAAATCAAGAACAAATGCATTGACACTTGCTTCATTACCAACATATCGTCCTGATCTTTTATCTGTTTTATTTAAAATTGATTGTGATGCATCATCTTTATTTACTGAATTATCAAATAAACATTCGACATCATTGATTGCATTTGATGCTTGTATGACATTTCGTATTGTCTATGTTAATCGTGGTCAAATGTCAACTGTAAAATTGAAAACAGCTGGTGATGCTGGCAAAAAAATAGCTTTAGAATATTTAGAAAAGCATCCGAATGAAACAATACAATCATTACGTGATGAACTTTTGAAACCTCCCAAACCACCGACACCACCTCCTCGAACACCAACACCACCTCCAAAACCAAAGTCAGCATTAGTTCACATAAAAAATTCAATGTACAAAAACATGTCTATAGAGTAACTTGAATAATTGTTCAATTTTGTTTTCCTTTTTTTGTTTTTAGAGACCCAGTGATAAGTGTTGAAGAAATAAAAGCACAGAAATATGCTGAACAAGGAGACATTGATATGGCTTTAATAACTTATCAACGTATTCAACCTGTTACAGTTCGTATACTCAATGCCATGGGTCAATTATCTGCCGATAGAAAGGGTGATTATGATTATGCCTTGCAATGCCATCAACAGGCTCTTAAACTTCAAGAAGCAGTAATTTAATGAATCTTAGTTGATTGTAAATAAAGTTCTTTTTTTTTTGATAGTCTGGAGAGAATATTTCTGATACTCTCACTTATCTTGGAAATGTTTATCAAAGTCGTGGTGAATTCGATTTAGCTTTAGATCATCATACACGTGCACTCGCATTACATCAAGTTAATCCAACAACTGAATCAGTGGCAATCGCTTCTAATCTTATTGGAATTGCTAAAGCTCGTTGGGGTCGTCATGAATATTCTGAAGCAATTGCTAATGGTGAACGAGCATTAGCTTTGCAAGAAATTCTTATACCTCCAAATGAAACAAGTATAGCTACTACTCTAGCTTTGCTAGGTAACATTTATCAAGATTCTGGTGATAGTACTCATGCTATTGATTTATGTACAAAAGCACTTCCCCTTTTCGAACGTACCGTACCCAATGATTCACTCATATTAGCTGAACTACTCTATAAGCTAGGCATAATGCAGTCAAGTTCAGGAGCGTTAGATGATGCACAACGATGTTTAGAACAATCATACAAAATTTATCGAAAACTTCTACCTAGAGGACATCAAGACCGTATGTCGACAGAAAATGAACTTCGACGTGTTATTCAATTACGTCAAAAGAACAAACAAAAGTCACAAACAAATTCATGAATATTCTTTTTTTGCTTTAAAACTAATTTTGCAATTTGAATTATCAGAAATATTGAAATATAATTTTAAAAAAGAAAGAGAACTGTTACATATTAGAGTTATTACTTCAATTAGACTCACACTACTTTTTTTTTGAAATTAAAAGATCGATTCACTACAGATTAAAAAGCAATTGATGTATCGAAAAAAAGCTATCTTGATAGCTATAAGTTCGTTTGTGACTCTAAATCTATATCATAAAAACAAAATATAAGATTTCCCCTAACTTCCGACAGATGATCTTTACTTTATACCAGAGATGCTCATCGTGGCTATAAATATGCCGCTACCACGACGCGGCGAACTATATAAAAAGTTATCGCTACCGCGATGGCTTTCGAGAAACTCTGCGAAAATCTCTTCCACCACTGCGTTAAACTAGCACAATTGGATTGAATCCATAAGATTCAATCTAAATTTTAACTATTGAACTTGTAGACATTCAACTTTGGTACCAATTCATCCAATTTTACAATCTCAATAAAAAAAAAGCTACCGCTGATGCTGTCGCGGTAGCACCGCTATAAACATCTCTTTTTTATACTAGCTATGCACTATTGCAGCTCAACTTGGCACCAGTCTTCTAATCGAAAACTTGCTCTGTGATATACATGTTAGTAGAGCCTATCGATTGATAGTCTAAAAGTAACAGCCAATTACAATTTGATTATTATAAGATCATCGGCAACATTTTCTGACAAATGTGTAGGCTGTGTTAGTAGCAGAATAGAAGTAATCGATCAAAAGTTTCTTTCATCTGTGGAGTAACTATCAAACTCAGGCTAAAAAATTCTGTTGAAATTAGAAGCACAGTTCAGATCTGAGACCGAGAATGTTAGACTCGATGAGTCTCGTGATCAATCGATTGGTTCCGAATTATGATTGGTTCATATTCATCTTGCATTTTTCTTTTATATAAGAATCATCAATCTCGATCATTATCAGAAATCGTAAGATACTTGTAGAGATAAGTATTCAGTCTGTTCATTACTAATAAAATTTAAAAAAATAGTTTCAATTGAGATTTTTAGTTCAACAGCAATGGTTTATCTATTGAAACTGATAACATATAAAGCGCGACAAAGTTACTGAATAACATCAAAAACAGAACAGTAAGAATAGTCGCAAAACAAAATTTATCGTGTAAATTTCTTTTTTGCTTTTTCATTGCTTAAATTTTTAAAGATCTTAATTTTTCGTTCTTGTTTTGGTCGCATAAATCCATTTTTCGATTTTGATTTCAATCCTTTTTTGCTTTGATAAACTCCTTAAAAATAATAAGTAAAAATTATTTAATAGAATAAAATAAATAAATTCAAGATAATTTACCAATATCAACAACAGGTGGAACACGAAAACCAAAACTATAAGCAACTTTAACCAAATCCAATTGTTCAACATTGTAAACATTTTTCATACTATGACTTGCATAAGCTCTAACATATGCTTTATATGCATCTTTTGCACTCAAATGAAGAAAATAATTTTTTTCAATTAATTTTTCCAACTAAACAAAAATAATAAATTTCATAATAATATTAAAAAATAAACAAAAAAAAACATACTTGAGGTTGAATATCAGCAATTTTATTCCATGAAAATTCAAATTCACTTAATGTTACTCGTGCTTGTTTGAGATAAAGAAGAAAACCAAGTTCTTGTGGTGTTAAAATCAGTAATGCATGACCATTTGCACCAGCACGTGCTGTTCGACCAACACGATGAATATATTCCTAAAAAGAAAATTTTCAATAGAAACAAAGAACATAACTAGTAGCGGACATATCTTAATTCCTTATAAAAATCCTAAAGACACTTCTCTTTATATTATCTGATAGTAAAAAAACAATATTCTACATTTACTCTAATATTTAATCGCTCTTCAACTAATAAAATTTCGATAAGAATTGTTTCCTATGATGTGTAACTATCATATTAGATCACATCTTCTCTTGATGCTCTTTTTTCTTTTCTCGTCTTCGCTAATGTCAAACTATTTCTACATATTAAAGTATACAAAAAGTGATATCAGCAAATCAGATTTTTGATTATTCGATTTGATCAAACAAAATCTAAATAATCAAAACGATTCCAAGTCGTTACATCCTATACTGTAAACAAGTTCTGAAATTTTTTTTGAATAAAGCATTCTATAAAAACATTCAATAAATGGATTCAACGACTGTCACCACTTTTCTATACCCTGATATGTATAGACAGCTAGGTATTAGAGAAGAATCCAGGTCAAGAAATATGAATTTCTAGCCGTAAAACTTGGGAAAATGATAGGAACTTGAAAGCAGGAATCCGGTGATCGGCTCCGCGCGAAACTACAAAAATCCAACCATTGTTTTGAGTTTTCCGGCCGGAAATTCATAGATTTAGGCGTCAAAATCATTTGTCTGGATAGAAGATACACATCGAAAACAAAATGTAATCTAATTTTAGTATCACATATCATAATAAACGAGACTTTATTAATTAAAAAATGATTAAATATCAGAGAAATATGGAGTATTATTATTATTATGACTTATATAATTAATTTTCAAATAAAAAATTTTACTTTTGGATCATCTGGCGGATCAAATTGAATAATCCAATCGACAGCTGGAATATCTAAACCTCGTGCTGCTACATCCGTACATAATAAAATTCCAGTTTCAGCATTACAAAATTCAAAAAATGTATGTGTTCGTTTAGCTTGTTTTTGTTTTCCCTTTAAAATAAAAAATTTTTTTAAATAAATATCTGAATAGAAAAAATAAAATCTTTTACATGAATACTTAATACAGGTATATCAATATAATTAAGTAATTCATTATAATATTTAACAGCCATACATGATGAAAAAAAGACCATCATTTTTTTCTTTTGATTTTTTTTTAAAAATGTAAATAATAAAAGAAAACGTTTATCTTGTGGAACAACAACATAACCCTATTAAAAAAAAAAAAAAAAAAAATATTTTGATTTATTTTTAATTATTTAAAACAAAAAAAAAATTACTTGTTCAAGTCCTTCAACAGTTGCTTGCTCACTTGTATCATCAACTCCAACATATAATGGTTCTTTTTTAAGAGAAATTTTTGCTAAATCTTCAGTACGTCGTGTTTGAGTTGCGGAAAATAACATTGTTTGACGACGTTCTACAAAAATTTAAATAAATATATTTTTAAAAATTCTATTTATTATTTTTCTTTTTTTTTTTTTCTGTATACTTGGTAATAATTGAATAATTTGTTTCATTTCTTCTTCAAAACCAATATCTAAAATTCTATCAGCTTCATCAATAATTAAACATTGTAAATTTTTATACATAAAATCATTTGTATTCTATGAACAAAAACAAAAGGATAAGAAAACGAAATTATTATTTTTTTTTTATTTCATCAAAATTTTACTTGAAGATGATCGAGTAAACGACCTGGTGTTGCAACTACAATATTCACACCTTTAGCAAGTTTTTTTACTTCATCTTGTCGTCCTGTTCCACCCATAATTAAACCATATGTATGATGATGATAAGCTAATAATTCTTTTAATACAGAATATGTTTGCATTGCTAATTCACGTGTTGGTGAAATTATAATTACACCAGTACCATTACGAGGCATAAAACGTAATTTATACATTAATTCAACAACGGGAATAAGAAAAGCTAATGTTTTACCCGAACCCGTTTTAGCCGAAGCGAGTAAATCACTAGAATTATTACAATTATAGAATTAATAGTTCAATATGTTTTTTATTCTTTTTTAAGAGACTAATGACTTCATTTTAGATTTCATAGAAAATTTTACATTCTAGGAAATGATACACCTGTTAATATTGCATAGTCGGTAATATTTATCGAGCACATAGGCATAACTCATTTTCTGTTAAAAACAAATTTTTTTCATACAAATATTAGTTTCTTCTACTCAAATATAAGATTGACAGAAAATTTCTGAGATAAACTATTACCCTGAATTCTTGTGAAGCAACTTTTTCTGTTAAAAATTGATACATGGCACATCGCTCGATGTAGTTTTTGACTTTATATGTCGTTATTTTTCTCTCAACATGCATCTATGACAAAGAAATAGCAAAAAAATACCTTTAACAGCCAAAGTCTTTAGAAAACTTGTATCTCAGTTCAGAAGCATCTACATATCTTTGCATCAATGGAGTGTATGTCTCATTTTATAGAAGAACATTCTTTAAAAGTTTTCTTGATATCGGATTAGTGGAAAAAAAGAGCCGCAGTCAACTTTACTGAAAATGTTCAGCGTAAAAAGAAGAATTATTTTTTCAGCATGAAAAATTTTCTAATAAATCAATAAAATCCTAGTTTCAGACTCTATATGATTTATTGTCTAACTCTTTTTATTTTCCACTGAAGATGATGAAATTTAACCTTTTTTTTTTATCGAAAATCAACTCGTTAATCAAAATGTATAAGTTATTATTCAGAATCTCGAAAAAGATCACTTTTATCCATATTATTGCTCACTGTGTATTTTGTTATACTCTTCATAACTAATCATACATGTTTTGATAATTTCTATCGATAGAAACTTGAAACATTGATCGAATGATATCTTATAAAACTTTATTGTTAATTTACTATAAGGATTTTATGAAAAGCAAAGTAAGTAAAGCTCAAAATTTAATCTACAACTATTTCATCATTCGATCGAAATATGTAATATATAGATGATTGTAGTCGACAATTTTTTGATTATTTATAAAGAGTATGAGAACATAAAAAGTTTATCGTCTTTTAAAGCAACAAGTTCTTCTATCGATTGATCCTAAAATGAAGTCATCAGTATGTTAGAAAGTACTCTAAACTGAAGTAAATATTTTCATTGATTTATTATATATCAAACGTTATTTACTTACCGTCCTTCGAGTAATGGTACAATAGATTTTGCTTGAATTTCAGTCATTGTTGTTAATTTCATTTCATTAATTGC